TATATATATATATATATATATATATATATATATATGCGCGGTTGTGCAGTCGATATGTGGCAGCAGCTGTAAAGGAGGCCTCAAACACATATACTACGTTACCCGCTTTGCTGCTGTTGGCTTTTCTAAGCTTACATAGCTTTTAAGCTTTAGCCTCTAATATTTGCACACCAACCAGCAACATACAATTACACAGACACAGACGGACAAACATATGAACACACTGACACAGAGCAGTCTATCACTGCACGGCACATATACACACATATATACATAGACACAACCATACATTTCCAATCTTTCGCGTCAGCTTTTCCTTAACGCTAAAAAATTTCTACTTGCTTGGGTTAAAGAAAAAAAACCTTTTTTCAATTTTCTGTTCTATTCCATTTTTATTTCGTCTTTTTTTCTTTCCTCTCTTCTTTCTTTTTGTTTTAGTGATCAAGTTGTATATGAAGTAGGGAAAAACTTGAATTTTTTTCTTTATTTTTTCAGCTTCTTATACAGAGAGAGGAAAAGAGTGTAGGCAAAGAAAGGCTTAACTGAAAAGGAGACAAAAATGATGATGATATGGTGATGATGAGATTCTATGGATAGAATTGTATTCTTCCTTAGTTGTTTCTGTTATTTTTGATGCCGTTGTTGCTGCTACTGCAGCTGCTATTGCTATTATTATCTGCTATTTGCTGTTCGCTATTTGCTTTTTTTGGCTTTATATTGAACATTCAATTTTTAGCTGGAAGGTCCTCTTGTTCAGTATTCAACATAGCTCTTAAAAAAGATTATTTTTTTATTCAAACTTTTTGACGGTGTTTTATTTATTTATTTATTTTTTTGTCATCTTTTCAATGTAAGAAAAAAAAAAGTATGCTTTTTCCCAGGAGGTGAAGGAATAAAAAGTAGGCAGTTTAATTTTCATTTTTAGGCACTTTCATTGACGTAAATTATCATAGAGCTGAAATGTCGGCTCCAATTCTGTTACCGTCATTGTTGTAATACTGAAGTTTTTATTGAGTAACGTTCTATTTGTTTTGGACTGCATTAGATGTTACAGTATGGTCTACCAAAAAAAAAAGTTAAAAACTAAGGTAGTGCAGAAAAAAAAAAAAAAGTTTCAAATTTTTGACTCATTGAAATTGAAAACTATGTCTCTAATTTTTTTTTTTTCTGCAACTTGGCCTTCTTTTGTGCCTTCCTTCACTGCTGCTACTTGAGCGTTTCTTTTAAAATGGTTTTTCAATTATTTATTTACTCATATTCGAAATCCTTGTTTGACATATTTATCATCACTGACAGTCTGTGATACTTCGATTATGGAAGGCAAAAAAAAAAGTATTTTAATTTTTTAACAACATTAATAGTTTGTAACAAAGCATTTCTGCACAAAAAAATCTTGATTTTTCTTTTGAATTTGAATTAACTGCTGACTATAAAAAAAAAGGCAGCAGCGTTACCGTTGTCAATGTTGACTGTTTGTATTGCCTACTGTGGTTGTCTCTTATAGTACCCTTATTGTTAAAGCATTTTTCAGCTTCTTCTATATTTTTATTCACCTTTATAAACAGTTATTTATTTATTCCTTTTTTTTTTTTATTATTATTTTTACTGCTTTTGAATTGAAACGAAAACTGTTTGCTTAGTGCTAACCAAAAGAAAAAGAAAAATTTTTTTAGTCTACTCTCTAGAAGCTAAACGATTACTTAGTGAGTTTACAGAGGAGGCGAGAGTGTATGATTGAGTGAGCGAGTGAGTGATTATGTCTCTGAGTGTGTGTGTGTGTGTGTGTTTCGGTGAGGGCAAAATGCCGCTGTGTGTGTGTGTGTGTGCGTGTACCCTATAAACCAAGTCTTACATTTGCTCAGCTACTCGTTTACCGACTAGACTGATTTGAAAGAAACTAGGGAACGATAGAAAAATTGTTATTATTTTTCTCCTTAATTTTTCTTCCCTAATTTTTTTTTTTTTTT